ACATACATAAAATAGAAAAATAAGGCAAGAGTGCATAGTAAACAAATAAAGAATTTTAAAGAGTATGCAGTTGTGTCAAAACCTCCCTGTATAACAGACCTGTCGGCCTATACAGCACATCTGAACATAATGCAATAAGACTACAAAATCTAATAGAATTTAAAAAAATACATTTTTATTTGTACGTAGATATTTTAGAATGTTTTTTACGTTTTAACCGTGGCACAACAATATATAAAATTGTGTATTTCTATTGACTTCTATACAAGCTATGATAAATACCAAAATATAAATGTGGTAAAACGTGAATATCTTAAATATAAATCTTAAAATGAGTAAAACTCAAAAATCTCTTTTCTCTTCCGGTCATGACGTTCATATGATCAAGAGTCATAACTGCGTAGAAGCGAACGTTTAAGTTACGTACTGCGCAGCTTTACTAGATCTATAGAACATGTGTCTTGGCGTTGGCAACGACGTGAGGCCGATCCAGGAGCACTGAAATCAGTTGGGCTTGGCCGGAGCGATGTCCGAACTATAACGCAGTCATTATCTGCCCTACTAAACTTTATAACCAAATATAAATGCAGCTGAACAAATATCTCTACCTGCGCTTCTGTTGAGGACGCTTCTAAAGGCTCAGGTGAGTGTATTAATAGAAAAGTAAAACATAGCCAGGAAGCACATTCAGAGCTAAAATGCTAACTGCAGCTGTAAAGTTACCGTCTGCTAACGCTAGCTGAATGTTAGCTTGACATTAACTTTACAGTCATTTTTACTTGTATTGTTGCTTTACATTAAACGGATGAGGCTCTAATAAATATAGCTCTAAGCTATAGCTATAACTTTCTAACCTAATGTAACTAGTCGGTGAGTTAGCTCACGTTAGCTTTGGCAGACAGTGGGCCTTTGGTATAAGTCGTTGTACCGAAGACCTGCAAATTCAGGAAACCAGCTAATCCCTAATGTGACAAACTTACATTTCCTAAACTTGCGTTATGTGGAAACTTTATTTCCCTGGTTTTCAGAAGCCACAACTTTATGCTAATACAAGGGTTCCCAAAACGATCAACAAAATAGGTCAGGACTAGTGGGAACCGCACGGAATTGTAACTTATGTCTGTTTAATTGAAAGATTTGAAGTTTCGTTTTGACATATCAGACTAAGAAAAGCCCAGCTGTAAATTATAACATTAATGATATCTGGATTCCTTTTAGCTGCCTCAGTTTCAGGGTCCTGGTATTGCTGTCTCTCTGTCACACTGTCGTGGTTTACTGGGACACTTGAATAGAAGAGAACTAGTATTAATATTATTAATAACACCTGTGTTTTTTTCTTCTGTGACAAGTTCAAAATGTCTGTTGTGAAGAGGCCAATCAATCAGTCCCACAACACATACATAAAATAGAAAAATAAGCCAAGAGTGCATAGTAAACAAATAAAGAATTTTAAAGAGTATGCAACCGCACTGAATTGTCTGTCTGTTTAATTGAAAGATTTGAAGTTCCGCTGTGATTGATCTGTCTTTTCTCTGTAGTATGGCAGGCTGTGGAGAAGTGGACTGTAAGGTGAATGCACTGGCTCCTACAAAGCTGATAGAGGAAGTAGGAGATACTCCAGACCCCTCCAGTTCCACCGGCCCCCCGGAGTGTGCCATCTGCCTGCAGAGCTGCATCCTCCCCGTATGTCTCCCATGCCGCCACGTCTTCTGTTTCCTGTGTGTGAAAGGTGCCTCCTGGCAGAGCAAGCGTTGTGCACTCTGCCGACAAGAAATCCCCGAGGACTTCCTGGAGCGGCCGGTTCTCCTCTCGCCTGAAGAACTGAAAGCAGCCGCTGCAGGCGTGAGCCGAGGCGTAGGTACAGCGGTCAATCCCCCTGGAGACTCTGCGTGGTACTATGAGGGGCGCAGCGGCTGGTGGCAGTTTGATGAGAGGACCAGCCGTGAGCTGGAGGAGGCTTTGTCCAAGGGCAGGAAGAGCACAGAGATGCTGATTGCTGGGATTCTTTATGTAGCTGACCTGGAGAACATGGTGCAGTATCGCCGGAATGAGCACGGCCGCAGGCGCAAGATAAAGCGTGACGTTGTAGATATTCCCAAGAAGGGAGTCGCTGGACTGAAGTTAGACCCCGAACCTGCCCCCATTCCTGCACCCATTCCTGCCTCCATTCCTGCTTCACCAGTTATCGCCCCAGCTGCACCTGAACGCGTCAGCTCGGCTGATGGATCGGACACTGCAGGCCCATCACAGTCTTCATCCCTTGGGATTATGACATCTATTCCCCCTGTTAGACCTCCAACGCTGCTGGGGCACCAACTTGTCAGTCCTCTGTCTCCCTCTCCCTCACCCTCACCTTCAACCCTGGACGAGTCTTTGTCCCAGCTCCTAATCAGCCAGCCAGAAGGCGAAGAGGTGGAAGGAGACAATGAGCTACAGACGTACGAGTATGCGTCCGGCAGCAGTGAGAGTGAGGAGGAAAGGGAGTGCGAGGGAGTGACAACGGAGTCGGTGCCACGGAGAAGACGCAGGCCGCTGAGAGAGAGCCAGCCAGCCAGAACGCCGCCAAGGGGCGGGCCCTCCAGCTCTGCACTAAGTCTCCGCTCCCGTAGTCCTGATGGACAGTGCACTGTGACAGAAGTGTGACTGCGACAGTGGGATCTGTTCTTCAGAAGAACTTTCATCAGTTCAGCAAAAAAAAGTACCAGTATGCATCTTTAAAGGTCCATTGAAATGAAAAATACCCCGTGTTGTTACTTAAGTGCATCCCACCAGCCCCATCGATCATGTGCCAAATATGAGCCATCTAACTGAACGTGATCTACAGCAGTAACTAGCATTAGCAGCAATGACGTGGGTCACAGCTGTCTGCTTGGATGTTAGTTTGCAAAATCATCTCACCTGCTAACATGTAACTACTTAACACTTGTGATAAACTCTTGTTCACCTCTGTTGTCTTCCACCCAGTGTTGTGTTTTCATTCAGAAATGCCTAAGACCAACAGAAAATGTACTACATTAAAGCCATTTCAATGGACCTTTAACATATGAACTGAAGCCTTTTGTTGAAGACTTTAAAAGTTAGTTTGGTAGTTATGCAATACACAGGTTATTCAGTGAAGGAGAAGAAGCAACTTCTTTGTAACGGTTGTCCAAAAACTACCATCTCGCACTGCCTTTACACCAGTTTGTGACATAGCAATACAACCTCTTTGAAATGAAACCACATCCTCTTTGTTCTCTAATCTTTTGACGTCATGGTTAACGTGACTGATATTTGTTTGATTGATGGTGTAAAAATCAACTTAAATGCAGCACCTTACATCCCAATTATGGATGGTTCAAATGGCTGTTTCATGCTTTGCTGATGAGTTTTTTTGAAGTTAAGATTAATCAGGACCTAATGAATAACTATTTAAACTGGAGTTTGTGTGTATATGTGTGTGTTAAATCGTCTATTTTTATTGTTAAAGTCTTGTTTTAATAATGGTGTGTGTTTGTGGGTGGTGTTAGGTACTGGAGAGCTACTGGCAGAACCACTGGAAACTATCGGGCTATATATGTAGAGAGACACATTTGGATTTCTATTTCTTCTCATAGTACTCTCAGTAGGACTACTATCAGAGCAGTGGCATTGACATGTACTTGAACTTTATCCGCACTCACACGCTCTGTTTTTCTCCTTTTTTCCCCCAGCTGCTATTATTTTAACTGTCCACTTTTCACTCTTTGTGTCTGACTGTCTGATTTACGTAAACAAACGTCTGTCTGTGTGGTGTCTTGTCAAATTATTAAAGGTGTTCATTTAAAATCTGAGGTTGGCTGATTTATCATTTTTAACAGACACAGTGGAATACATTACAGAATTATGGCAACTGGAAACAGAAGTGGCACTGGTCCATAGGTCTGTTTGCAATGTGTGTCCTGATTTCAGTCTGAGTGCACAGTACTGTAGGAGTCCACAGGATGGAGCTCTTGCATTTATTAAGTAGCCCTTTACCCATTGCCTGTTCCCCACCTGGTGTTCGAGACCGTTTTCGCGCACAGGTTGTGTGATTGGTACAAAGATCGGCAAGTAAATAAACACGTTTCCCAAAATCTCTATTGTAATGTCTATAACTATTTCTTTAATACTTACCTGCAATGTTTCCTCTTATCTGCATTTTTAGATGGTTCAAGAGAAAGAAATGTGATCAGAGTACTGAATCTGTAGCCTTCAGGGAAGAGCAATAAAGGGTTGTTTATAATTTTGAGAAATGGGAAATAAGTTTGAAGCGTGGACTAAACTTTGTATTGTGTGTTTTACAATAACTCCTAACCTTTGACCTTGGACGTGCCACAGATTGTGGACATACCTTTGTCACGTTAACAAAATAAGTGTTATACAGGCTTATTAATGGTTGAAACATTAGTCATGGAAACACATAAAATATATATGTGACCACATTCTTACAAAATAGTTTTGGTGTTCAAGTTCATCCTATGTGACAGTGACGGAATCTGTTTGTGCTGGATAGAAATGTTATGGGTATGGCAGGTATGTAAAATAGCTACATCTAAGGCTCAGGGCCAGTGTCTCTATTAGTTAGTAAATTGACTAATGAGATAACATGTAATTCTCTACGCAGAAATTGATTCATTCTCTAAACTAATTCATCTTTTGACAACATGAGAAATAAAAACCAAAATTCTCAATCCGCTCCCTGCATACGACAGTGGTTATTTTTACTTGTGCTTTGGGTCTTGTGTAATACTTCCAGGAGGATCACCTGTTACACAGTTAGGGTGCTGACTAGCAGCGTGGGCCTCTGCATGTACCGGTTAGTTACAGGTTTGTAGGACCTGAGAGTCTTTTCACAACCATTACCGCTTATTTAAATGAACTATCTAATTTACTAAACTTACTTTCCCTTTACCAAAGTGAAAAATAACGATTAGCAGCGACCAAAACGTTACAGTGGCGCTTCGAACTAAATGCTAACATCAGCATGCTAACATGACAATGTTTACCACATCCATCTCAGTTTAGTGTTAGCCTGCTAACATTTGCTAATTACAGCTGAGGCTGATGGAAACG